ATTATTCTGTGTTTTCTGTATTTTTAGATGGCAAGAAAGGAATGGTGGCCATTGTGGATAGAAATCTTGCCCATTTCCGCATGGTTGATGGTCATGGGGTCGTTTCTCCTGGCCGCCATCGTCATGTTCGTCATCATTCGGGTCAGTCCGTATGAGAATCGGTCGTACTCGGCAGAGATCGGCGAGGCGAGCCGACTGTCTACCTTCGGGCACAGCCTGTGGATCTGCTACAGCGCGATGAGCTGGCAGGGGGTGGACTACTCGCCCCGATCCGTGTCCGGACGCTTTCTCTTCGTCTTCTGGTTCGGCTTCATCGCCTGGACGCTCATCCTGATCACGGGCGCCATCGCAGGGCTCTTCGTCGCCAGCCCGGCCGCTTTCCCCGTGGTCCCCATCGAGTCCTTCGATGATCTGGCGTCAACAGACGACATACGGCCGGCCTTCTACGGTGGAGGAGCAACTGACTACTTTTACAAGAACTCTCCCCTTCCATCCTACCAACGTCTCCAACAGAGGGCGATTCGGGTGAGCTCCACGGATGAGGGGTTGGAGCTCGTGCGCCGGGGAGGAGTGGCCTTCATCAGCGAGTCAACCACGTCCCAATTCTACAGCAACCGGGAGTGTGATCTGATGGCCATCCACGACGGCAGCACCGAAACGACAAGACACCAGGCTATCGGACTGCCGATAGAGTCTCCCTTCAGGGAGGTGGTCAACATCGCCATCATGCAGCTGAGGGAGAGTGGCAGACTGCACGTGCTCTACAGGAAATGGGTTGTAAGTGTTACGGAAATTGTGCTTTTCTTTCTTTCCACCTGGACCAGCATATTGTATTCATGTATTCAAAAGTACTACCAGTCGTTTTAGATTAATATGCATCTTAACTAGAAAAGAGCCTATCATGGAAGTTTATCTGTTTTGGTAGTAACATGTTTAAACTAGTTAAAACTTTTGATCCAACACAAAAAATTCTCTCACCTAGAGCTTTCGACCAGTCACTCTGGTCTTCCTCAGTAGACTGACCCAGTAAAGCTTTTCACGTGGCTTCTTTGGGTCAGTCTACTGAGGAAGACCAGAGTTACTGGTCGAAAGCTCTAGGTGAGAGAATTTTTTGTGTTGGACCAAGAGTTTTAACTTTAAGCTAGAAAAGACCTTGTTAAACCATAATAGGTACTAATAGGTAGCTACAACATTGCGTACTCATGACATGTCCAATGGGCACCGTAGACTGTCAACACTTGTTTATCAAACGCGAGCAATTGTGCCTCACGTTTGCTGGATCCCTGAGAGTATCTGAGTTTAGAGACTACCTAACAGAACACAGTGTTCAATACAACAACTATTATCAACTAACAGCTATCGCGTTTGCAGGCTTCCGGGGAGTGCACTCAGACCAACAATTTTGCGAAGACCAATCCTGCCAGTTTTCAGAGTCTGACCACCTCGGACCTCATGCCGGTGTTCATCGAGCTTGTTGTGGCCGCCATCTTGGCGCTGTGCATCATGGGAATCGAGGTGAAATGGGACAAGCGCACTGCTAAGGTAAGCCTTCAGCAAAAAAAGTCCTCTTTAATGCTGGGTAAATTTTATATAGTTATAAATCATTATAGATTTTACAAAATTAGTTATATTTTTGTGTCCCTCTCCGGGCTCCCTCTTATCGTATGTCAGCTGAAGATGTTGCATTCAGAATGGAAATTATTACTGATATTTGGTGCGTGGATAGGGTGGCCTCACATCTAGAGATTTTGGGCCCCTTCTAGGGACTCTCCTTGGTACTGAAGCAGCACTTTCAGTTTTTGTATCTTTTGTTCTGAAGATGCTATGATTTTACCTTTCCTCCAGCCACCTCAGCAGCCCGATGCAGCATCGTCGGGGAAATCAGCCGGGCAGCGTGATGACGACACAAATGTTTGAGCGAGACCCTCCATGTAGCCGGCGGACCGTCTGGTCGTGGGAGTGACCAGTTGGGACCAGTTGGAACCAGTGTGGGACCATTTTTGACTATCCTTTGGCGTATGAAATTATCGATGGAGCTATAAGATGCTATGAAGTCGATGCTCTGATCTACTTGACTAATATGAGTAGTCATAAGGACACTGCCTCATGGTGAG